GAATGCTACAAGTTCTTCAAATACCTATAGAATGATAGGTTTCTTTTTTGTGAGTGTAGAACACTTAAATACACCATTTCGATACACATGAATAGTTTACAAAAAACCCAAATTATGCTTTCCTTGCTAAAAAATTGAACAAAAGACAAAAATTGTCTATATCTCTGTTTGGGACCTGTAAAAAAAGTATCTTTGTACCAAATCCCCCAAAATGGGTAAGTTCGCCATATTTATTTGTCAATGTGTGGAACCTGTAGAAAAGTATCTTTGTACCAAGTTCCATGTGAATGTATTGGTCAAAATATAGCTGAGTAATTGACCAAAAACTCCAAAATTATGCTTATTTGTGAGCTGTAATCCCCATATAAAGGCTTAAAATGGGCAAATTCAACTTTTTTTTTGTATGTTATTGTGTTGGGCTCATGAAAATTTAAATTTGTGCCAATTTTCATTGTGGTTGCTGGAAATATGACAGTACGGGAACCCAAAATGTACATCTATAGGTTGTTTTACCTTTGACCCTATAAAATCCTTAAAGAGGCCTAAATAAAAAAATGAGAAAAGTGTCTGGGCATATAGGGTTAAGGTATAACCCTACCAAGCTTCAAGTCAATCTGCCAAGAAATGAAGGAATGACAGACGATTGAAAGAAGAAGAAAGTATATAAAAACAGTATGTCTCTGCAGAGACAAAAATATACTATAATACATTCTATTACAAATTGAGTAGTATTATAGGAAGTTATTAATGAACCACTTTTTATATTACCACAAAAATCCTCTAAGGTTCTTGATGTAATCATTTAAAATTACTACACATATACTGTAGGTTTCTTATAATACTCTCATACAAATACCATGGAATGATAATAATTGTATAGGAGTATTGCAAATAAGCTGCAATTATGATAACTATGGTAGATTAAGCACACACAATGTTGAATTTTTACATTAGTTAATATGATTACTAGAGACATGCTGTAAAATTCATATAGAAGCTTGTAATGCTGGTTATATACCACAGGATCCTTTTGATAGTCTAATATTATTACAACATATGTAGCTGAAATCTTTGAAATCACACATGTGAGGTTAACTACAAACAAGTATCACTTCCTAGCAGATATATCCTTAATTCTGAAATTTCTAAATCTCACATAATTTATTTCTTGAGATTAATTATTTACTGATACAAGTAAGCAATCCAAGTGGAAATCATCTAGTATTTAAAGTCCAAGTAACTGTAAAAAGAAATGGGAAAAGAATGTTTTCTAACATTTATTTTTCTGCAACAAACTAAATATGTCTGATGCCTAAATGTTAGAGATTTGATCACAAGCAACAGTTAATTTATCTTTTCTTTTTCATTATGACCTTAATTATTATCATAATGTTTGCAACCCATTCACAATGTGTGGTTTCATGTGGTCCATATACACACACACACATCTTATTAAACTATAAAATTATAATTACTTCCATTTGTGAAACAAAAAGTTATAGCTTTTTAATTGATGAAGCAATTTTGAAAATCTAAGAAATTAAAATTTGTATTTCACTTTAAGATCCAATTTAGAATATTAAGTTAATTTTTGTACTTTCCAGGGAGCCATTTTAACAACGATGCTGGTAACTCGTAACTTTTCTTGTGAGTATCTTTATCACATAGTTATTTATAATATAGGTTTCTAAGATATCTCATCTTCAAACCTATTTTTATGTTATTTTTCTTCCTTTACTGTAGTATAATATATACTTATGCTGTTGTACAAGTGTTATCTTTTGTTTCAATGTACATGTACCTCATATGCCAAATCTTAATGTTTTGAAGTCCATGAATATATCATAGCAAGGTTAAGTTTAAGTAAGCAAAAGTTTTTGTTTATGATTATAAAAGTCCAGAAATAACTCAACAGCTGCATTTTGAAATGTGGATCCTTCTCCATAATGAACAAATAGAGTTTGTTTTTCAAAATTTCCTGAACATGTTCACCATGCCGTTATGAAATGTGTTTCTAATACATAAATGTTATCAGTTAGAATTACAAAATTACAATTGAATATCAGATTAATCATTGAACTTCACCATGATTTTAGAAAATATGTTTCTAATACATGAATGTCATTTAACAAAACTTACAAGTGAATTTCATTTTTAATTTTGTTTGCTATTAAAAGATAAAATGCTTAATTCATCCATAACATTAGACTAAATGTTTTAGGGGTTCAAGAACTCAAAAGAGTTGTACAAGTTTTTTGCACAATCTAAATGTGAATATCTAATTGTTGTAATTATATATTGGCTTCTCAACACAAACTGTGGATTTAAAGTCTAATTGATAAATAGTAAAAAAAAAAAGCTTAAACTAGTTATTATCCAGTACATTTTAGGCCACATATAGCTGTAGATTTCAGCTTAAGTTACCAGTGGATTCACAGATTGTATGTAAAAGACAAAGATAACATTTAAAGACAATTATTATGGTGTGAAATTGTATTACATGGGCATATGTAATTGTAAAATCATATACAGATAAATTTTCATACATTTTGTGTTATGATATCTAGCTGTTGTTACATATTTGTTCTTTATAGAGCCTAGCTAATCCTGCTGATCAATTTCTAGAAAAATAAGACTATTTTTGTGTTTTTATTATGAATTAAGTACAAGTGTATTTTATTTTTAAATAAATGGATACTTTATGCCTGTTCTTAAAACATATAGAGGTATATATGTGTGTGTGTGTCTAATGCAATATGTCTTCAAGTGTTTTAAACATAAAGAAAAAATTTACTTAGAGTTCTATATGTATAGTTTACCAGCCAAATGCAGGCCAGGACTTCATTTCTTTAAAATATATGCAGAACTAAAACAGATTTGACAGTTGTATACAGTAGAGATATCATAGTGCCATCTAGTTGAAAGTTTGTAAACCTGCGGGATGTTATGCTTCAATCAACATGCCTGTCTGATATTATAAGTAATTGTTTAGTCTTTCTGTATCAGTTTGACACTTAATGCAACATTTTGGTGATAAGGATGGAATATGATAATTTAAGAAACATCATGACTGAAAATTATTTCAGCCAAGTTATTTTTGCTTCTTTGTTTGTTGTTTGTGAAGTAAAAGTTACAAAACTGTGAAGTCAAGTATCCAGAATTTTCTCCTACAAGATGAATGGTGCCAGGAAGCTAAGAAAGAAAATAGGGCTAACAGGCTGGAAAATAATGCATTTAGGGGCAAGGATGGGCTTGGGTTTAGGTTAAGCAACTGGTTCCAAGCACTTGCTAGTGATGAGGGGGGAGCAGGTAAGGAAAAAAGATGGGATAACAGGGGATGATCCGTGTAAAGGATAGGGAAGTTGTAGTTGTCTCTCAAGCTAGGCATGTAGATAGAATAGTATGTGGTGTAAATAGGGGCAAAAGAATATGCTTATGCTATCCAGGATCAGGGATACAGGATATAACTAATAGAACCAGGAAGATAGTTAAGGGTGCTAGTAGCAATGCAGTTTTTGTTGTACATGTTGGGGCTAATGATGTAAGGAAAGATGGATCTGAGGAGCTTATTCATAAGTATAAAACATTGATAAGAGCATTTAAGTAAAGGGGTCATAGCTTGATTTTGTTAGGGAAATTTCCAAGAATAAATTATGGGGATGAGATACTAAGTAGGTCACTAGGTTTGAATTCCAAGCATAGATGAATATGTAGGGATGAGCAAATAGACTGGTTGGATTTGTGGGATAATTTTCCTGGGAAAGTTCATCTTTTTGGAATAGATGGCTTACCCTTAAATAAGGCAAGGGCTAGCATGTTAGCAAGGGCTGTTAACTCAGCTGTAGTGGTAGATTTAAATTATGGCTAGACAGTGGTGAGGACTATGATATTAGTAAAATAGGAAATATATTTGACAGAAAAACATGTACAACAGGCATAAAACAAAAGTGTATTTTAAAATCTATGATTAATTGTTGCTATTGTAATGCTAAGAGTATTAGAAATAAAATTGATGAGTTCAAAGCAGTTGTGGAAACTGAAGATTTTGATATTATGGGTATCTCTGAAACTTGGTTGGATTTGAACAATTTTGATGAGAGAAATTGTTTTGAAGTACTAGGCTAAAGATTATTTTCTAGAGATCGAGTATTGAAAAAAGGGGGAGGAGTAGCCTTATATATGAGTTCATTGCATCCTGTTGAGTTAAAGCATATCAAAGAAAATATCACTGAGGTTGATTCAGTTAGTGTTAGTGGATATAAAGGGAAGTCTTGTTATTGGGATTTGTTATAGACCACAAAGTCAGAATGTAGAAGTTAATGAGAAATTGTATAATTAGATCAGAATGGTAGCTGAAAAAGTTGTTATTATGGGATATTTTAATTTCAGGGGTATCAATTGTGAAAATTTTGAGTCTGACAGTGAGGGAGATAGGTTTTAGGAAATTGTTCAGGATACTTTTATACATCAACTGGTGATGGAACCTACAACAGAGGAAGCTATATTAGATTTAATATTAGCATCTGATGTGAATATGATAGACAGAGTTGTGGTTGGTGAGCATTTAAGTACAAATGACCATTGCACTATTAGATGTGAGATTTTACTACATGCAGAATTGAAGAAGAATAGTACCCTGATTCCAAATTTCAGGAAAGCCAATTTTGGTGGAATGAGATGTGATTTGGCTTCTGTAGATTGGACTAAAGAGTTAGGAGGGAATTTTGAACAGATGTGGGAAGCATTTAGATAAAAATTGATTTGCATACAGAACATGCATATTCCCTACAATGGAGAGGAATAAGCCAGTATGGTTTAGTAAAGGTTTAAGAGATCATATTAGGTATAAACATAATAAATTCAAGAAATTTAAACTTACTGGAAATAATAAAGACTTGGAGGACTATAGGAAATCAAGAGAACTGGTTAAAAAGGTAGTCAAAAGGGCAAAACTGTATATGAAAGAGGGTTGGCTGAGAGAGTTAAACAATAAAGAATTTTTTAGATATATGATGGGTAACCAAAATGTTAGGATTAGGATTGGGCCTCTTAAAAATGATAGTGTGGAGTTGACTCGGAAGATTGCGAGATAGTAAATGTATTAACTTATATGTTCCCTTCAGTTTTTGGGGTGGTTAACTATATGAAAGATACTGCAGACTTATAGGGAGATTTAGATCATTTTATGCATTGGGCCGATATGTGCCAGATGATGTTTAACAATCCAAAATGTAAGGTGATGCATGTAGGTTTTCAAAATTCAAATTATTATTACAATTTAAATGGGAATACATTAAATACTATAGTTGAAGAAAAAGATCTTGGTGTTGTGATAAAAAAAATCACTTTAGTAACCTAAACAGTGTATTGTAGCTAGCAATAGGGCTAATAGGATTTGGGGTAGCATCTATAGAAATATTGAATACAAGCCAAATGATATTATTGTTTCACTGTATAGATCACTTGTAAGGCCTCATTTAGAGTACTGTGTACAGTTTTGGGCTCCTTTCCTCGAGAAGGACATTGAATTGTTGGAGACTGTTCAGAGAAGAGACACTAGGATGATACCAAGGATGATGGGACTGTCCTACGAGGAGAAACTAAAATCTCTAAACTTGTTTTCTCTGGAGAGGAGAAGGGTCAGAGGAGATTTGTTGAAGTGTTTAAGATTATCAAGGGTATTGATAATATAGATCCATCAAACTTTTTTTGTGTTTAGCAGTGAAAACAATAGGACAAGGGGCCATAAATTCAAATTTTGGCAGTGTAGGAATCATCTACAGATTAGACAGTATTACTTTTCAAACAGGGTGGTTGGCTTTTGGAATGAACTGCCTTCAAGGGTGGTGGAGGCAGAAAATTTAACTGAGTTCGAGAAAGGATTGGATGAATACATGAGTAGTAAGGGGTGGTTATAGTTGGGAGTTGGAATGGCTAATAAGTTTTTTATCCCTTTAAATTTTATGAAATTTATCTGTATAATTGACAACTAGTATTCCTGCCATTCTATAGATGTCAAGTGACACATTCATGACAGTAACAGTCCTATTTAAACCCACAGTGAATAAGTACTAGAGGTGACCATTTGGCAGCTAGTAGTAATAGAAAACACTATATAGTACAAAACATGTACAGATCTGACAGATTATCTGGAAAGAACTAACCAATACTTCTTACAAAAGGACATATGTGTCATGCCATTATGAGCAGATCAATCAGCAATGACTCTGGTAGTTTCTCAAACCTATGACTTGCTAAAAAATCCTAATTAGTCATAGCTACTAAGTCAGATAATGAATTAATGGCAGCATTTAGTGCACAGACATGTTCAACCATGGAGAGTAGAGGATATTAAGAAAATCAGGTTTCATCATTGTGTTCAGAATGAGAAAGAATCTGCAGCAGCTTTCCCTACTCATGAGAGTTGGTTATCACGTGTGATGATGGCATTTTTCTTAAAGAGGCACAGAGGGGTTCTTTGTCTGTGTCTTCAGAAAACTACCTTACACAGAGAAAGCTGTTATCAAAAGAGAGGAACTTCAATGTCATCTTAATGAGATAATAGATAAGACAGAAGACACTGAAGCCAGTCATATTGCTACAACTTCCATAGTGATCAATGCATTTCACAAATATTGATAATTATTTAAACAACAGATATGAAATTATGATAATGACAAACAACAAACATACAAGTAACAAAAAACACACTTTTTTGCAGTAGCAGTGAGTAGACACATTATACATTTAAAGATCATCATTGGAGTACGAAATAAGAACACCAATGTTCTGTGTATGTAATCACATATGAAAAAACTGCATGACTTTTAGATCCAGTTTTGAATCACTGCATGAAAGTTCAATTAATGATCTAGTAGATAAATGACCCTGACCAACAACATTAACGATCAGAAGGACAATTAAAATTAATTAATCTCAAAATCTCTGAGTTACCCCACAAGAAACCAATCATGTTGAATGAAAAAAATGTGTAAAGAAGAGTGGACTTGGACAAGGGGAAATCCATCACTTGTGAACAAACAAAATAACGTCTTTCTTGAAATTTCAACAACATATATGAGTACACACAATTCAGGATAGTCCCATCCTGTATAGTATTAACCTTAAATTCACCAACAATAACCAGAAATATCACAATACCATTTAAAGTTTGAAAGGACTTGGAACCAAACCTACTAGGATGGAACATGATGAGATTGCTAGAGGAGACTATTTATAAGTGAGTCATATCACCACTGTGGAACAGTCAAGCAAAAAGGTTTACTGCTAACATATTAATGACTATTCTGATCATTTTAATGACAACTTAAGCCAATTAATAAATGTAGTTGTGAGGAACATGGGTTGATAAGAACAATTGCCTAATCACTACTGGAACTAAGACAGTTCTTTATGTATTTAGAGAAAATATGAAGGCTGAACTCTTGCAATAATTACTCCAAAATGAGACTTGAATGAGTAGCTCTGTAGATTGGGAATCACTAGTCGTCAAACAAACTGAAACAATAGGTTTGTGTGGTCACTGTATAAACTTACAGCAACAACAATAAAGTATCATCTTTACCTCAATTTATTTTACTAATTAATAGCGTTTTTCTTATCTTTATTCATAGTCTATCTTTTGTCATTTGTATCTCATTTTACTTAATTTTTTGAAATATTATATTTGAAATTTTTTTAAAATCATTAATCTAGTTCTTTCTTCTCATACTGATTATTATGTTCTCACACTCCCCTTTCTATCCTGTTCCTGTCTTCTTAGTATACTGGAAATCAGTTACACTTGCAATATTCTCAGTGAAAGCTAACCTAAATACATATTGTCATGGTCAACTGTTACTAAAGATCACTTTAACTTTTACATTTTATACTTTCTGCTCATTCGTAACTAACACCTGAAAAAGAAGAATCTACCTTCTGAAAGTTCTGATATTATCATGTTTCTGTTTATTATTTATTTAACTTTTGATTCTATATGATTTCTTTGTACTATCCACCATGATTTGGCATTAGCTAAGGCTTAAGAACTATCCACTAATTACTGTATGATTACAATGCATTATCTGTACAACATATAACACTTCTACTTGTTATTGGAAGTTACTAAAATGTGAAATACATATAAATGTAAAAAGTTTTAAGAGTTATGACTGTATGATAATGATACAAAAAATATTGTATTTATTGATGGCATGTACTGTATGTACATTTTGGTCAAACTTTTATCATATTATAAGAAATCTTACTCTGAAATATAATGCTTCACGTCAAAAAAGATTCAGATTTGCATATACTGATTTTAAATTTTCATTTGTAAAAACTATATTAACTGTTATGGCATAACAGTTAAACACTCGTGCATAAAAAGCACAATGTGAGGTTAAATTATATTAGAATAATTTAAATAAAGCTTAGAAAATGTCAATCAGTAATGTGTAAGAACATCATACTGCATTATAGAAAATGCAACAAAAATATACAATATATGTGATTAGGATTATTTGTTTTTCATGTGTTTATCAGAAATTACTTATAATTTCCAATTTAAAACTATTTTTGAAATTGAAATAGGTAACTAAATAATCCAAGTGTAATTTAATTTGAATAGTACGGAGCACCTGATCAGGTAATAATTATGACAATTAAATAATCTATCTGTTAAATGGTCAAAATTTAATATAGAATTTATGTAATGGGTTATTCTAAGTTATAAAATATCTGCCTAGTTTAACACTTAAGTTCATTTCTTCCATTCTTTCTGTTTCCATCTTCAATTTCATTTGTAGATAGCTTATTCCAACTACATGAATAATGTGTTTAATCTTAGTCCATAGCATATAAGCATAAATATGTTAATGCACACATTGCATATTTTTGTTATAATAAAATTGTGGAGTATTCCTTTCAGTTTAGCATCATTATTGTCAACCCAAATAATTAAGAACTATAATCTTCTATTTGATTATATGTTTTCAAGAAAAGATTTTAAGAAAGATTTTTTTCGTTTGTTTGCTTCTTTGTGTGTGAATTAGGTCGCAGCATTATAAATAAAAAAGGTGAAGGATCTCAAGTTAAAGAATCAACTGACAGCAGCACAACCTTGGAAGAAGAAGATGTTAAAGGTAGCATTTTATATGCAGTTTATATTAATCCTGTATTATTAATATGACCTTTCTATGTAGATATGTTGTATATTTAACATCTATGTCAATTTTTGCCACATTCCAACCTTCCTACAACTGTTAATGTGTTTGTCTTTCCTCTTCAAACTTCATTTTCTTCTTACCTTAGTAAGTTAATATTATGCTATAAATGATTAAACTGAGTGTGTGAAGAGTTCATGTTACTAAGATGATAAAGAACTCTGTGAATTGTATCATCTGTATTATCTCACTGATTCAGGGTCTTCATGCACGTAGATCAAGATATAGTATAGCAAATAAAAATACATCATGCTCTCACTATTTTGAAATGCTATGCTCTCAGTACAGTCAGAATACAGTCTGTTTATAATTTATATTATTGCTATAGCAGTATCCATGGGATTTTAAATTTTGATGTTCTGGAATGGTGTTTTCCTACAATCTAACTCACCTTTAACACTTCTATTCATAAGAGTTTATGTGCTTTATGAAAAGAAGCATTTCATTTCTTATCTAATCAATTTTTCACTAGGGTCACCAAAAAGTTTTATATTTTCATGCTTTAGTTGATCATACATAAAACTGCATCTTCCCAACTTGTTATGATATCACTGTTCTAATTTTTTGAATTCCTGTCTTGTGATTTTGTAGGTTTCTTACATAGTTTGTTAGTTAAGTTTTGGGTGTTTTGATGAATGAAAGTTTATATGAAAGGTATGTTATTCATGTGTATATTTTGGCTCTCAACTGCGCTGTACATCTTAGTGCTTGAAATTACTTAACTGAACTGTCCACACACATCAGTCTCAGTATAAGTAACTTTTTTTGTCTGTCCTCAACTATCACAACAGATATCACTTTGCTGCTTATCTTTAAATACTTTCATTGTGCCTTCTCCTGGGAAAAAGTATATTCGGTGCCTATGCTTCTCACCATACTAATCTGTGCCAGTCATGATTAAATCTGTAACTATATAACTATGTTATTTGTACTTATGTACTTTAGCCTGTAAAGTGTGTTGTTTTTAAACCATCCATAACTATAAAGAAGAACTTCCAAACAAAAGTGTGTAAAAATATGTCATCAATAGTGTATTCACCAGTGCCAATGAAGCCTTCACACAGTACCATGGCTCTCCATGCTGGCTAGCACACAACAAGCACAATAGTGTTATTCAAACATGGTGTCTCCATTCACTCTTAAATTCATCCATTATTCATGTATATTTATCCATTCATAATTATGTTTATCATATGTTCAGTCTGTGCAATTATGCTAATTTATTTATTGTTTAAACAAATACAACAACTAAAAATTGTTATAAAAAATTGCTAAGTCTTGAGATGTATTTAAACTTATTGCATGGTTCTCTACTGTGTGTGTGTGTGTGTGTGTATATATATTCTATATGAATATAGAACTGTATTAAATCTTCACTAAATGTATGAAGAAATGTCATATCTGAAATTTAGCTGCATATTTTCTTAAAATATTGCTTTCTATATGATTTCTTTGTAATAATATAAGATATTAATGGGTATAACTATGTGGTATTTTTAGGTAAAACCAATTTCCCTGTAAGTATCAGATAGGAAAACTGGCAAATAACACCAAATTCAATTAATAAATAAGGGGTGTGTTCTATAATAAATAACTTGACTGAGTTCCTTTAAGAATAAAATATTGAGCCTAGAAAAATGTGAATAAATAAATAAAATCTTTATTATAACAAATAAATGGAAAATATAGTGTTTTTGTGTGTGTGTGTACCTTTGCAGATAAAATGACAATTCTTTCCATCAGGCTGTGTTCAGCTCCACAGCTTTCTCTCCTTTGTAATTAATTTCCTTAGGACTAACATATTGTTCCTAAAAGTAATGTTCATTTGATGATATTTTAGTAGAAACTGGCAACAGGCTAAAGAAAGCATATCTAAGTTCAACATGTGAGGTTGCTTCTTTTGTTTAATCAACAGTGTCACTTTGTGACCTTTGTTCCCTCACAGCATTTATTGGTTGGGTGTTATGTTTAGGCAATGATATAATCTGCCACCAAAGGACATTTACAATGCAAATCCTTTTAAGCTCATAACGATTTTACTTGTTCCATATGTTGTGAAAGAATTTTTTTTTCTTGTCTTACTCTTTTGTGCTTCTATTATGTGTGGTTTTTTTTTATTGCCACTTTCAACTTTCTTTTTGGCCCTCACCATAGACGTTAACTCTTCTGGTCCAGATCGAAGCAAAACTGTTATCCATGTTGATTCAGGTAGGCAGGTGCTTTCATGCAATTTAATCTATTCATTGTATTGTTTATCATTTCTTAAACATTTATCTGAAAGTATTAGTTTATTAATATGAATTAGAAACATTCAGTGAACATGATTCATTTCATTATTAGATTTCACTCTGTTGTTCAGTTTCAGTTTTATTTTTTATTTTCTTACATTACTGCTCTTAGAGATCTTTCAGAATTTCTTCACATTTTTTTGTCTCCTTACTCAATTCTATCAACCCTTTGCCTACCACCTCAGTATAAAAGCACATATATATGTTAAGATTAAAGATTAATAACAGTAAAACTACTTTTGTATCATATTTACTGTTTCATTTGCCTTATTGATAGTTCAATACAAATGTGTTTTTGTAAATGTATATTGGTTCCTGGTTTACTACCAGTACCTTGTCTTGAGAAAAAAAAAATAGTAGTATGTTAATTGGAAAGCAAATATATCTATGAAGCACATTGTAAACATTTTATAAAACCCTTACCTATTAAAAGCTGTTTTTCATAATCACGAACCCTCCAGTGGATCAATGGGTGAATCTGAAAGCTTATAATGCTTAATATCGGTTTTTGATACATGCATTGAGCACAACACAGATAGCCAGTTGTGTAGCTAAGTGCTAAATAACAAGCAAACTGTAGTTATTGACCTTGATCATAACTTATAAAGTAGGTTAAAGTAAAAAAAAAACAACAAAAATACACATTCAAATATGTCAGTATGTTTATATACATGCTATACAGTTTTATAGCTCTTTCTTGATTTTAATTTTTGTAATATTGAGACTGAAATTATCAGGATAGTAGGAATGTTTTGGCTTTATAAATTAATTTTTAATCATTTTAGTCTTTCTGCAAGACTAGTCATTTTTATGTTGTTGTTTAAAGCTCTTAAACTTCCTGTTACTTAAATATGAGTTCAGTACATATTTATGTGCAGAGGTAATTGAATTTTTTCTCACAGTTCTAAGAGTCTTTTAGGCAAACGACAGTTACTTGTGAATATTGTTTGCTGTTCAACCAGCTCAGTCTGTCATTCTTGTGAGTTTGTTATATTACAAGAGTACACAAGTAGTTCCCAAACTTTTTCAAATTGCTAAAGTTCCCATGCCACCTTTACAAAAAATTACTTTATTTATAACCTTATTTTTTAGTATAGATACCATACAATTAAGTAGGTAAAAATTAAGCATGGCTCTTGAAAAGAAAAAAATAATATAAAATGAGACAAAATTCATTTTTTCAAGTTTTGACTAAAGTGGTGTTTAACTGACTCACCATGCACTCACATCAGAGAGGAACTTATGGAAAAAATTTTTTGTTATTCACACCTTTCCTCAACTAACTGTTTTTTGTTGTATGATTTAAAAAAAAATTCTATCAAGATTATAGTTTTGACTATTTTTGAAATTATACTGATATCCCACCATGTACCACCTCTGGGACCAATCAGTATTGCCACCCCCAGGGTTGCACAGTTTGGGTTATGCTGGACTATATACAACTTAACATTTTTATGTAGACAGCCACTTCCTGCTACTAACTTAAGTGACAAACAGGCTTGTCTGTATTTTAATAGAAGCTTGAGTGGTTAGTTGGGTGAAGCATTGCAAAGATATCAGTAAACTACTTGGATCTTTCTTTTTAATTAAACATTTGAGTGAGTGATATGTAATTATAAATTGGATTGTTTATTAAATAATATAAAAGGAAAATATGATTTTTACTGCTTAAACAATATTTTTGAAAAACTTTTCTACATGATATTATGATAAGACTTGTGCAAGAACATGTCAAGAGTTTGTGACACGTTTCATTACCAGTTATAAAAATGTGCTTGTACTCACTACATGTAAACATTTTTGGTGTTTGTTTAAGAAATAATATATTTCCAGCAACAGTGTACTGAATATATGTTGACTTGACAGAAATCTATTTTAAAAAAGCTGAGAACTTATGAGATTTTCGTACATTCCTCTATAAACATAAATAAATTTCTCTGAATTATTGTAGCTTATAAATAACAATTTTCATGACATATGAAAAGTTAAGTTGTAAAATCTACTCAGCTGGTGGGCAATGGATTGGTAGAAATATTTGCTTCTTTCTTTTATTTAATTTATATTATATGGATGTGCAAATTCCTATATTTAACTTTTGCTTTTTACCTTGCATTTACTATAAAAGCCCCTTAGATCATTATTTGTTTCTAGCTTCATTTGCTTTTTGTTCATCTGGTTTGGTGTGCTCTTTCTTCTTTTATGTTTTTAAAGTCAAAGCTCCAATTCCTGACAGTAAACCCATAGCCAAGCCTGAATCTGAGCCTGGCCAACTCTCCTCCTTTATTCGAGGTGGGTACCTCTTTCATTGTAAACTGACAGCCTTCCTTAAGTATTTGATCTTTCCCCATGGTTGACTTCAGCTTTAAAAGGTTACTTAGGAGTTAGTTGTGTCACCATTGCTAAGATGCCATTAAATTAATAAGCTAATCTTATTTTATTAGAGGTAGGGTTTCCTAAGTTTGGAACCAGAAGCATATTTATAGTGTTAGCAACTAATATGTTCAAAAATATTTATATATTTTATAAAAAACAATTACAATCTTAGATGAAAATATATATGGAAGGCAACTAAAAATGCATCAGAAGTTGGCTTTCACACAACAATTTCTATAGAATTTTCACATTAGTAATATTGTTGTGAAAACAAATCAGTTATATATCACCAAATAAAACACACACATCACTGTTAGTATTAATTTACTGTGTGAACTACAGGCTATTAACACTTTAATCACAGACAAATTTCCTCATTAAATTGTTAGAAGATTATTGAATCAAGATAGCTGAAAATATACCAGTTATTATGAAATGTTTCCTTAAGTGGTACTCAGTTTGGTGTATCTCATATCTAGAATAAAAAAGAATCATATGGCTAAAGCAGCTAATTGTAATTGCACGTGACTAACCATCATGTTAGGTTAATGATAACTATACTCAATGTACTAATTCTTGTAATTATATATCCCCCCTCCCAAAACACAACAACAATTACATCTTGCTCAGAAAATAATCTGTCATCATGGCTTATTATAATTACAAACATTATTTAACTGCTTTTGCAGTGAAAAATACTAACTTGGAGATATAATGACAGCCATTTTACTATCTGTATGGTTTATGTTAATGTACGTAAGACTAAATACCATATATCTAATGACTCTGCAGCTATCATAATCATTAGTAATAAAGTAATTTGATAATTAGCTAGTGCTACTTATTTAAACAAATATAAAATAAAACATTATATTTCTTAATTACAGTGTTGTTTGGTATATTACAAATTAATTGTAATTATTATGTCATGCTTAACCCAATTGCTTTAGAATATGAAAAAATTTTGAAGTGTGGTCTTTTATAGGAAATACAGTAGAAAAAGATGGTTTGATACAATCATGTAACAAACTATGAAATATCTGTCTTTTATTTCTACAGTTTCCCCTACTTCCTCTTTGTAGATAGCTATTAATGTCATTGCTTTACTTACCTATCTTTTTTGTCTCTTTAGCCATAAGGATTAATAAGGTTGGTTCGATTGATCGTAAGTATCATATTATTTTCTTGGTCAACCATATTGTATATAGTGTGTGTGTTATAAACATTCAGAATGTACATTTACCCATATTACCTCTCTTTCTATTTCTGTTGCAGTATCTTTATACTGGTTGCCTTTGAATTCAAATGCTTCTTGTTGTATATTAAAATGAAGAATTTTCTTGTCTAACTGCTTAAGTATAAAACTTTGAAAGAACAATTGTTTACAAAGTGTTTTATATAATATTTTTTTACGTGATCATACAGCATGTGACCTTGTAACTGATAACCAAGCAAGAAGGTCTTATTTGCCAAACCCACAACTTCATTTTATGTTGTATGATAAAATTATGAGAAATCTATTGAACAATTTCAAAAGAGGCATTCTTAAAGTTCTTTATAGTATTAGTAAACTTTGGTTTGTAGACAGCAAAGTAATGTCACCAAAACATTAAACATGCTATCATTACTTAAGACTTGTGACATGATCTTATTTGAATGGCATTATCAAATCAACAAGATATTGAAAATTAATTTCACATCTCATTTATTTATAAAGAATGACATCAAAAAGACTTGAAACTACAAAACTAAGCAACAGTAATTAATTGCAGTTAAAGAGGATTCCTTATGGTGTCAATGCCAATTCTCCATATTCGAGATACACGTGATGCCAATTTCAAAAATAAAAGTTTCTATCAGTTTGCCCTTCGCAACAGATCATACATAATTCATACATCTTTATTTACAAATAATGGAAGACCAGAATGAAGTCATTGTGAATGTATCTCACTTGAACTACTCAAAAGATCTTGGTGTTATACATGTTTTTTTATTTATGAGCCCTTGATTGAAAAGTATAATCATTATGTTATCTCATGGTTGCTTGACTATCCTCCAAAAGTAAAATTTTGAAATGAAACGTCAGATACTATACAAAAAAAAATAGTTTTATTGTTCAAAACAACACTTTAAAACACTTACAAGCATTGAGAATACTCTTTTATGTTCAGAATATTTTGCATAATGACGTAGAACCATAATATTAGGTGCATTTCAATACCTCATGAACAAAAACCAAAAAGGACAGTTTTTTTCATCCACAAAGATTAATATACTAAATTAAAATGTATTATAATAAAGGAGTAACAACTTTTCATATTCTATCAACTGTTTCTGGATTATTCAAACAGAATCTTTTTCATTTATTGTAACATAATTTACAAGATAAAAATGTATTTCAGACTAGCTATTTATTTTTAGTTTGCACAGTCTAACTTCTTTGAAATACTGTTTTTGATTTAGATTATAATTTATGTCAGCAATTTAAAGAGATTGAGTCTGGTGAGAAACTTGTTTATAGAAGGATTCTACATATTTACTGTACATGACAAGAAGCAATTAATTAATGGAAACACGTTGATTTTCAGGAAATAAAATTGCATTAATAGGATCCTTGAGTTCATATAAGTACTTATAATGATCAAAAGCACATTGTTTTCCCAATATAATTAGAATCTATATTTTCTCTATAGTATTCAAATACTTGCATGAAGATTGGTAATGCTGGTGTAGTATATTTTCATTTAACTTAAAAATATTGTCTTTTGATACACCCATAAAATTCACAAGCATACATATTTAGTGTTTTATGCTAACATAAAGCTGTAACAAGATGTCCTTTTAGCATTTACTATATACAAGTGTAATGACACTTTTGGTTTTATGAAATTTGGCTATATGTCCTCTCAGATAAATATGTATCAATTCAATTCAATATAACTCTTTCAAGGCTGAATCCATTTCATGTGTCTATCCTTTTATTCCCAGAATGATGTAATTCCTATATTTACAAGACCAAGGCAGTATGTTTAACTTTAGATTTAAGTCAGTGCATTGCTTTTAAACATCTTTCACATGTACACATCATATTTTAAGTTATAGCCATTAGTGATATCATTATTTAAGTCGTATATATATACATATATATCTCTTTCCTCTTAACATTTTTGTGAAGTGAAATTAAACTAGTATTTAACATATTGCTGTTCTTGCACGTGTAAACTTACCATCATTATAAATAAATTATTCCTTTTATCATCTGTTTGTGGTATTATACAGGTGGTTATATGAATAATGTATTGTTTTTTAAACGTTGTCTTTGAAGCACACAAGTCAGAAATCATCAAAATTACAGAGCTTCTTATAGAGGCCATCAACAATGGGGATTTTGAAAGTTACACGTAAGGAATCATAAACTTTGATTGGAAATTCTAGGTGATAGTTACTATCTGTATTCATACTAAAATAACTGAGTTCAACTTGATAAATTGTTTACAGTCAACAATGTCTCAGCTGAATATTCTACCTTGGTTGAAATGGTATATAGTCTATCAAGAAAAACTGAAATAAGTTTTATTACCATCTAAGATCTATATAACCGTAACATATGAGGTAAATCAAACAAAATATGATAGCCAATAAATTATCTTGGTTTAAGCTAATAAATGGTTAATGTCTTAATATTAATAGTAATTATCATTGTAGTTCTTTTAAACTCTATATTGATAGTTTGTTTTTTAGTTTTGGATTTGTATGTTTAAACTATTAGAAAAAAATGTTCAAGTTAAGAAATATGTTTTAGTAGGAGTATTTTTTGCCTACTCATGTAATTTTTAAAAATTTTATTCTACCTAATATACTTACAAAACAGACTTTAACTTGACAATTTTCTTTTTTTTTGTGAGATAATAATTTACAGTATGTTTCAATTTTTTAATGAATACCAATAAAGATGTAATAGGTTGGTGTAATTTCATTGTTAAAGATAAAACATTAACATTTTATTTTATTTTTGCAGGAAATACTGTGATCCCCAAATAACAGCCTTTGAACCTGAAGCCTTGGGAAATTTGGTTGAAGGAGTGGATTTTCATAAATTTTACTTCAATAGTGGTAAATGAGTGGTTTTTGTTGTTTTTATTACAGAAATACTTAGTGTTGTTTTCAATTCCTTTTAATGTGTATTGAAATACTTCTAACATATAATCATTTCAATTTTAAACCATGACTTCAGATGAATTTAAGTGATAAATATTACCAGGTCTTAAGTGTTTGTTGGATATAGACTTCCAAATTCCAGGATTTAAAATGTGGAACTTTCTTTGTTTATGGAATAATAAAACTGATATACTGAATATGATTTGATTCCATGTCCCTGTTTATCAACTAACAATCAAGTTTTAACTGAAGTTTTCATTTCATTGTTTCTATGTTTTGAATTTCGTGCAAAGCTACACGAGGGTTATCTGTGCTAACCATCCCTAATTTAGCAGTGCAAGACTAGAGGGAAGGCAGCTAGTCATCATCACCCACTGTCAACTCTTGGGTTACTCTTTTACCAATGAATAGTGGGATTAGCCATCACATTATAATGCCCCCATGGCTGAAAGGCCAAGCATGTTTGGTGGGATGGAGATTTGAACCCCCGACCCTTAGATTGCAAGTCAAGCTCCCTAACCACCTGCCCATGCCAGGTCTTCATTCCATTGATTTATTCAGACATTTTTTTAAAATAAGCAATGCAAAACACTCTTTGTAAACATGACAAAATATAATTTTTTACTGAATTAGTAATTGATAGTAATAGCAGCATACTGTCTTTCATCTTGATGCAAAATACTCTTTGTAAACATGACAAAATATAATTTTCTACTGAATTAGTAACTGATAGTAATAGCAGCATACTGTCTTTCATATTGATGCAAAATACTCTTTGTAAACATGACAAAATATAATTTTTTACTGAATTAGTAATTGATAGTAATAGCAGCACACTGTCTTTCATTTTGATGCAAAACACTCTTTGTAAACATGACAAAATATAATTTTCTACTGAATTATTAATTGATAGTAATAGCAGCACACTGTCTTTTATCTTGAAACCAAACATGATTTAATTCTGCATCCCAGCTTAAATATCAATGAAGGTGCTTTGTTCAACTAATTTTAGCTTTAATGCTGCAAGGTTGCATTACGATGAACAGGTTTTTTTGAGAAATACATGTAAAAGTATTTAGTTACATGCATCTTACAATAGAAACATAACTCAGTTTCACATTCTTGCATACCTTCTTTTTATATTGCACACAGTATTATGTTTTAAATCTAATTTGGATATTATGATATTGTATTTTATGATATTTTAACTTAAAGAAATTTGAAATGAAACATGATTTGTTAAACATAACAATTGAGAGTCCAAATAACTGTACCAATTTATCTTTTTCTCCTGTTTTGTGATCCAGAATTTTTTTAAACATAGACTTAACTAATATCTGGATCTTCAATTCTTCATAAAGGGGGAAACAGAATTTGTTTTAATACAATTTATGTGTCCAGGAATCCACTGACCTTTGTATAACTTAAGCGATTTACGTTTGCTTTGATTTAGATGGAATGTATCAGTTTTAAATGTTTAATAATGTGATTCCTGCTTTTAATGTCAGTCTTGCCATATTTTATCTTATCTGTATTTGTAATAGCACAGGGGTGTTTGTAGTTGCCACACTAAATAATTGTCATAGAGGATATAAAAACACTGTATTGATGTTTTTTTATTTTAAAGTTTCAGGAAAAAATAACAAGCATATAAATACAACAGTTCTCAATCCTACAGTCCATCTACTTGGTGAAGACAGTGCTTGTATTGCCTATGTACTCCTTACACAGTGTGTGAATAAGTAAGTGGTTAATATCAATGTATGGTATGTACAATCAAGTCATGTGATGGTCAGAATAGTGAGTGATCTGCATGAGTTTCAGACTTGAAGCCCTGGTAACTCAATTAATAGAAACACCGATCAATAATCTTGGAGTCCTGGGTTCAAGTCTTGATCAGGTCAGATATGCTTTTCATTCTGATGTCATTAGAGTGTCTCATAAGTAGACTATCTTCCTGAAAAGAAAGTATGTATTATTCAACTGAAAAACATACTCAGTTATTCTGAATATAAAAATACTGAACTCTGGTAGACCTGCACACTGAAAACATTTTTCTCTTTTACTTTATTCTGTATTGATATTATATTTGTGTATTCTTAATTGAAAGTATATTGTTTTGGTTAAATAACTGATATGAAAAACAACATTTCAAACTGTGAGCTCCAAGTACTATAATTTTTTGCTTGATAGAATGTTTAGACAGAGGATCATATACTTTAAAGGCATTGTTAATGGACTGTGTTTCTCTAGTAAACTTTTGTATAAAAGAAGACATCTAAATTTAAATTGCAAGTAAGAGATGTTTCTATAAATCATTTTCCACTGGTGGCATTGAGTCATTGCTTAAACAATATATTTATTTTAAGCCTGTCATCAGGACAAAACTTCATGGCCGTTAGCAGACAATATGGGGTGAGAAATGTATGAACAGGCTTTTCCAGATTAAACCTGGCTGTCAATTTTGCATAGTTGACAAAGGGAGGAAGTTATCCACACAAGGCTCTGCTTCAGACATAGTTTATTTACACATTGTTTTTCTTTTGCAGGAGAACAACCTGTCAATTTGTGAGCAGTATGACACTCAATTTACAATTGCCCAAATAGTATTTTAATACCATTGCTACAACAATCAATTTCACCACCATTTTGCATACTTTTGCTTGCAGTATACCTTTGATGTTGGACAATGTCATAAGCAATGATGACACTATCCAGATAGACTCTGTTTTTTCGTTTTAATGGGCCATCAACCTTTTTAGTTCTATTTAATTTTTAACCTTTGATATTGGACAGTTTCATTAGCAACTGTGACATTGCCTCCAACCTGATCATGTGTTTAGTTTTTTATGGGCCATACTCCTTGTTTACTTCTATTTATATTTTATCCTATTTTCATCAAAAAAGTTACTTGTATATTGCATTTTTACTTGATATACCATTTTCTCTTTCATAAGACTGTTGTTTTATGAAATAAAATTGTTTAGCACAGACATCCTTTGTGTTTTGCACCATTGAACCTCATATAACCAACTGCCTCATTAGATAGTTGCTTTGTGATCTGTTTGACCTGATGTATAGGGAACACCTTGTGACTGTCAAATTATTAAGAAAAGTTTTTTTTGTGTGTTCTGGTGCCTATTTTCTGATTGGTCAGTGCTACATAGAGGATGTGTATTGTGAATATAGTTTTGGCATTCTCAAATAAGATTCATCCCAACTTTTAGCAGTTTATTTCATGTGTGAGAGCACAAGACTGGTTGACAAAGACCAGTCCTTTTTTTGTCGTACTCCTTCTAGCCTGTTGGTTGTATGCTGCTTTAACTTTGCTGAAACACAGTTTTTAATTCCTTTCATATACTTATATTTCCTTCCTTTATTTTGCAGTAGTCCTTCTCTCCAATAATTTTCTGTACTTATCTTTCTCTCTTGCTTCAAATAAACCATTTCACTTTGATTTCGTCACTTTCATTTAAACTGCAACAAATAGCTACGTGCTACACGTACCCTTCTTCTGCATATTAAGTCCATGAGCCTCTTGGTTTTTATAGAAATTGAGTGACTTTCAGTTAGGATTGTCCTTGAATTATCACAGATAATATCAGTCAAACAAGTTTTGATGCCATCAACCAAAATCTACTTATTATAAAAGAGATAGTTGTCTTGTTTCTTTCATTCCTTTATATTATTTTGTCTATTGGACTGTTCATGAGATATTATCCAAGAGATGCCTGTTCATCTTGGAAAGACTTTTAGCAGAAAGGAAGAGAGCCAGGCTGAGCTGAGGATGAGATTAGAGGAACCTTGATAAACTCGAAGATGTCCTCTGAATACTGAGTGCTTCCCTGCACTATAGAACTTTATGCTTCATACATCTGATTCATCAGTCGATCTTGAGAACATTAGCTTAGCTTGAAGGCAGAGGTGGAAAGCTACAAAAAAAAAGTGTGGCTAACCATGTATTTACTGGGACCAATAGAAAGACCAGTACAGTTAGATGTGGAAATCAGTATCCAGCACAATTGACACTCATTGAATAATGAATTCAGAAGCAGCCACAGATTAGCTATAATAATAATAATAATAAAGCAGGAGTGAAAATTTAACATTTTGCAGAATATTTAAGTTACAGCCACAAGGAAGGATCAGCAGAGATGTATTTGTCTGAACAAATGGTTGGCTGGGAAGAACACACATTACCCAGCATCATATAGACACCAGAAATGCACATCCTATAACACAACTGCACCGGCTTTCTGGGAGCACCAGAGGTATAGCTAGTGCTGAGGTAGATTGGATGCTGAAAGACAAAAGAATGCTCAGTTATCACTATCAGTCATCACACGAAGCTAAGGAGGTACACAAAGTACTGTGTGGACTTCAGGCAATTGAATGCAGTAATGGGCAATGACACATTTTTCCAGCGTAATTGCATATTAAAATATAGTTTTAAAAATATTTTCTGAATATATTTACAGTATACTTTTTCCGTGGAGATACACGGTGCCTTAAGATTTCACATCATACGTGTTGTTTATTTCAAAGTTTTTCTTCACATTTATCAAATGTAAAATTTTATCTATGTTTCTGTGATAAAGGTTTCATTTAGAAACCATTTTGGAATTAACATACTATGCTAAATAAAATCTGCAACTCAAATAACTAACAAACATGAGACCAAGAAACTTTAAACCATTAGTTCTCTAAAATAATCATTATAAATGTTACACAACAGGTGTTAGTTTAGCATAGAATCTAAAATTATAAATTTTAAAAGATTATTTAGGACTCGTTTGAAAATTATGCATACTGACATTACACTTATGAATCTCAAAATCTACCTTAAAATGACATATATTTTCTTCTGTTATCTCTTATATTTTAATTTATTAACATTCACAGTTACCACTTCTGTTGGTTACAGGTCAGGGATTGTTTATACTGAGCAAACCAAAGAAACCAGGGTTTGGCGTAAGATGGATGGAAAATGGCAAAATGTTCACTTTCACCGCTCAGGGGTAGGTTTTTCTTCCGTTACAACTTCCCATAAATAAAGCTGAGCCAAGGTAGTTCTGCCAATTTGTCATTTGTCAGCTTTGTGGACAAGCTAATGGCCAGTTTACAGTGGCCCCAATATGGTCACCCATTGGTTCATCCTATGTGTTTTGAAGATATGTGTGATCCAAGAACTAATTCCCACCTGCTCCTACTCAAGAGTTCTCCGAAGCACCGAGTCCTATGTATGACTTCTTAAGGGGTTGAGGTTATAAGTCAAGAAAGCAAAGTCAGTGTAGAAGCCCCTACTTTGCAGTTGATGGAAAAATTACTAGAATGAAACTTGCTTTTCATATTGCATATATTTTCTTCTCTCTATAATCCCAAGTTCCCAGTAATGTGCAAAATCAAGAATTTATTGATTGTATGTACCTTTAATGTTCTTGGCTGTTTTCATTAAATCTTCTTGTGAATAAAACTGAATATCTGGTTGAAATTATTTAAAGTTAAATATCCAAGGTTTCTATCAACCTTCATATATAATATTTCTGTTACAGCTACAGTATTGTATATCTGTGTAATATTCATGTCTTAGCATAGATTTAAAATCAAACAAATGTATTTCTCATAACTAGATTTGATTAAATGAAGTGGTGAAACATAAAGGTTGAATAAAGACATATTGGAAGATTATGGAAATATTGTGTTAAAGGAATAATGAATGTGTATATTAAACAGCCAAGGTATTTTAAGTATTAATTCTCTTCTTTGTGATCAAGATCTTTGAATATGTGTATTAAGAAACATAATAAAAAGATTAATAAACCTTTACTAAGTATGAGAGATGTTCAAATACAGTTAAATACATGTGTTATAGCCCACTGATTGGTATATTTAACTACAAATTATAATTTATGTATTAAATCAAAATCACAGTGAAAAATTTACACTTTTTTAAGTAACAAGGATAGTTTAAGTGTATTTGAACAAGTAGTAAAAAATAACAAAACAAATACTGTTTTTTAAGTATCATAGCTGTGATGTTACATTTGAATGTCTGTATAAATGAGAGAGTAAAAATGTACATTCAGTGCTATTAAGTATTGTAGGTGATTAAAAATGATCAAAAACGTGTATTAAGCAATGTGATAACCACTGTACCAGTTAGCCATATTCAAGGTGTTTGAGGATAAAAATCCCTTGTAAAACAAAATACTAAATATAGTCAATTTTAATTGCATAAAATATTGTAGGTGATGAAGGGTTTTGAACTTTTGTAACACATATTGTAGTCTGTTGGTGTTTGTGTAACCATATCGAATATGTTAAAGAATGTTTTGAACCTAGTATCAAACAACATAATTAATTGGTAGTTTTAATCATGTCAACTCAATCTAACTTTTTCAGTCATTGGTACTGAAATAATGGGCAGAAGTGTTTTAACTTGGTTAACGAATAGATCGGTATCATATAAGATTTCCCAGTATTCAGTAATACCTTTGGCCATTAACTAAATTTGGTGATAATAAATACTGACATAATTTTTTATTATAGAACTATATGTAGGTAAAATAGTTTCATGACTTAAGTTAAGAAATGAGAAGGTTTATAAATTTACAGATAACTGCAAACGTTTTGTCAGTCTGTTTATAAGATGTGAAAACTATAGGTATATGTTTTTTTTTAAGAACTGTTTAAATCAATTTTTTGTATTTGTTTCATTTCTAATATATAATAGTTGCTAGTGGCATTATGAATTGGATATGTTTTTTTTTCATATTTAATTTTCCAGTTGATAAAAATAATCCATAAAAGACTAAAGCAAATACATTTTTCATTGTTCTTTGTTTTCTTTTAAAATGTAACAACTGTTTTATCAGATGATTGTTTAAATGATAAACAACATAAAATTAAGCAAAGACTTGAATATCCATGGTCTGTAATTATTTTTATTAAATATTTTGATTTTAAAAACTTTAAAAGCTTAGCTCTCCATGTAAGCCAGCAATGTCACTAATTATAATAAAAAAAAATCAATGTTGATATTCAAGTGTTTATTTGATGTATTGAGATTTGTTTTGTAAAAATTAACAATTCCCTTTGAACATTCATGAAAATATTTCGTATCAATAGAGATTTTCTAGGTTTTAATCAATAGCTAAATTATTGTTGTTCTTCTCTTTTGTACTTTTTGCTATTTTACATTTTTAATATATGGGTTGCAGTGATATATATATATATATATATATTCTACAATCTAATTGTGCTAGTTTAATAACTCTCTTTAGTTTCCTAAATTACTTTAGATACTCTTTGTGTATTTATTTTATATTGATTAAATTCCACATTCATTTTTTTCTTTTGTTTTATAAATGAGACCATTTTAGAAGGCTACCCACAATACCAACACAATACTGGATAATAGTAGCTTTTATTATTTCTATAAGTATTTCATCAAATTTCATAATTGTTTTTATAGTATGCTGGTGGATAATAGTGATTTAATTGAACAATTCTATACTATTAAGATACAAGACAAAGGTGTGGGGGTATGAGTGTGGATTACCTAATATTTTGTTTTAAGTAAAAAATGCATAAAAATATTTTAAAATATTGGCTGCATTAGACAAAAACCACTCAATAAAAACAAATTAATGTGATTGAAGTGGGTTGTTATTGAAAATGTGCAAACTTTTGAAAAACAATATTTTATGACCATGTTCCTTAAAATTGTTATTAAAATCTTTTTCTCCTTCTTTATCCGTGTTATGAAATCTTAAACCAAAGAATCTTGGCTACTGACACTTAACTGCTCTTGGAGATATATATATATATATATATATTTAAAACAGTTGTTACCCCAAATAATGTGTTTTTCGTTCACTTACAGTAAGTAAAAGGATGCTAAGAGAATTAACTTATTATCCTTTTTTTTTTTCCTTGCAACTTTATAATTTCCCCTTTTACAAAGATTTTGGAGTTTGTCATAGTGAATCCGGTTATGGGTATGACCATTCCATGATGCAACTAATCTGTTTCTATTCATTTATTATACCTAAATATCGATGAGATAAATCTGCACCAGTAGAGCAATTATTACTTGTATTACTCTTACATTATATTGCCATATTCTTTACACCAAAAACATAAGCTTCGTACAGATACTGATTGATACACAGAAAAAAAATAGATGTGCACATAAAAGTATTTCTTTGTGTTTTATCTTATTAAAAATAATTAATGAATGTGTATTAGTTTTTGTTGTTGTTATTATTTTTTGTATTAATTTGTGTGAGGTGTTAAACGTTCATGGTCATTTATTACAGTTCTTTGTTTATATTAGATACATAAATTGTATAGGATAAGGTCTTTATATCTTCTTATTGCAACCTGTTTGGTTTCTATTATAATTGATGTTAAAGAACTAATTAAGATCACAATGAAGTTATAAGTCATGATTTACCAAAAAAAAAGGAAATAGCTTGCACTAATTCTCCTCTTTCCATGCAAACTATCATAAACGATTTGTAATTTTAAGAAACAGCCACACACACACACAAAAAAAAAAGCTTATTAGTTATGTTTCCATACTTTTTATTTGTTGTTGTTTCTTGTATTCAATATACCAGTGATAAATTATCAAAAGATTTAGGAAATGGGTATGTGTGAAACAAAAGAAAAAAAAAAAAGATAAAACCATGTTGGTCTCTTCTAAACTTTACTGGAATCACTGCAAATCATCTGTTTGTTATAAAACCATAATCCTTCTAGAAATTATATACCAAAATCCTTATCATAATTATACTTTTCTGTTGTATAGCTGAAGCAGCAAAACCTTTAAAAATACATTTGTATTTGTAATAAAGGGCAGTGAAAATTACAAAACGTTTCGATTCAATTTTTTTTATGATTCACTAATATACGATGCCATTAGATAATGTTCATGTTCTCAATACTCACTTGGACTTTTATTTAAGCAGGAATTTTCAGTAACTGGTAGTCGTATCTCAAATCATGTTTTGATCTAATAGGTCATCGCTGCTGAACAAAGTTTTAATCTAATGGTAATGTCTACCAACAAGAGACAGCTACAGGTCCTTGAGAATGAAGACTGGTAGTCTTTACAATATCTTATTTTCTTGCAATTGCTTTACAATATGATGTTTTATAATATTGGTTTTTCTACTCTTTATTGTTGCTCATAATATTCATGTTTGTTACTTACTCAGTTATTTTCCATGTCGCTTCAATTCGCTTAAATAATTTTCCAAGTGTTATTAACTGATATTTTCCACAAACGACAGACCAAATTAAGGGCTTGTTGAGTTACAAGTTATGTCACTAAGCGTAGCTAGCATTGTAAAACATGTCTAAGGTGCAACACCCTGTTAAACGTGTTGGTAAACTAAAATATTTATATCAATTATTTCGGTAATCATGAATAAGTAAAAGAGATTATTTGTAATAAAAAATACAGTACTCTAAAACTTCAGTGCTATATAAATTTTTGATGTACTTCGATTACCTTAAAGTACTTTATGCTGAAATACGGATACTTTCCCCCCGTCTGTCTGTCAGAAGTTGGGCGTCACTTAGTGGTTAGTGTATGGAGTTGAAATCGGTAGGTCTAAGGTTCGAGATTTGTTTTTCACGCTTTTAGTTGTGTGGAACTCGAAGTTATAATTTGCAACAGTCAATCCTACTACTAGGTTTAAAGTAGTTCTATAGGTGTTCGGTTCTAGTGATTAGTTGCCTCATTTAACCATCCTTTAGGTGAACAGCATTAAATTATATGTCTGGCAGGGTCGTTGGTACGTCTGTGCCATTCAGGTTGAAAATACGAGTTTTATCTTTCGTCAATAAAATATTTTTAAGAATGAAATTACTAACCCCATAATAAAAAGTTATTGCTATAAACCAAGCCTTTATTGTTTAGTGTAAAAAATGGGAATATGTATATTCAATTCTAGTAGAAGTCGCTCACGATAATTAGGTTTGTTTTGAATTTCGCGCAAAGCTACACAAGGGCTATTTGCGCTAGCTGTCCCTAATTTAGCAGTGAAAAACTAGAGGGAAGGCAGCTAGTCATCACCACCAACTCTTTGGGCTGCTCTTTTACTAACGAATGGTGGGATTGACCGTCACATTATTGCGCCCCACGGCTGAAAGAGCGAACATGTTTGATGGAACAGGGATTCGAACCTGCGACCCTCAGATTGCGAGTCAAGCGCCCTAACCAACTGGCCATGCTGGAAGGATAATTAGAAAGCCATCATCTGATATTTGGAAAATTGCATGATTTAGTTATCAGTCATTTAACAACAACAAAAAATCAGGCTCGTATGTTTTTTTAATTATAGTTCTTCACTTAAGTATTTTCAAATGTGTTTAATAAAAAAAATAACATTAAGCTCTGTGTTAAAATAATTTACCAATGATACTTTAGCATCATATTAGCTCTACTTAACAGTAGTAGGGTTGTCGCCAAACATGTGACCTTGGTGTTGTTTGCGTCTTATTTCTAAGGCACGTGACGTTTGTCCTATGTATTTCTTTAGACATTCACATAGGATACAATATACGCCATATTTTGTTTTCATTTAATAGGGATTATTTTGGGTTTGGTAGTAAGGTGTTGATTTTATGGTTTGAAACAAGTATTTCCATCTATACTCAAATTATTATACCAGATATTACTGTAAAACATGTATATTCAATTGGATTCGCAATATTAGGCATGCATTTTTATCAAATCGGTGTGTATTTTTAGGTTAATGACCCATAGATTGAGAATCGAGTGCCTTAACCACCAGGTCATGCCAATACAAAAGGAAAACATTTTTTATTAAATCAACTATAAATAACACAATCTGCTTACTTGCATTTAAACACTGGAAGGTCGCCTTCACTGGATTCGTGAACTGATTAAAATATTTTCATTCCCCTTGTCAACCAACTTCTTGTGATCTTGGGTAGCACTATTTAAAACCAGTGTTTCTTACTTAATGGGAAGCATCAAATTTACCCATAGTAACCAGTGCTACATACATGACTTGTCATTCTCAATTAACATAGAGGAGGTTTTAACCTGTACCTTCATCTAGCCCACAAGTGAAGGGCACTGATGTCTTCTATAACCTTGTACAATGTGCAACACAGCAGACAGAGCAGGTATTATCTCTAGAAAACAACAAAGAAGCAAAGGAAGCTGGAATGAAGTCAACTTAATGGTTTTCTAGAACATGTAAAATGAGTAAGGTAGAAATCACACGGCATGCCTGCATATCACACTTCCTCCTCCAACACTCTTTTTCAGACTTGTTCTCAAGCCAAAAGTTAAATTTCACTTGAAAACCAATTACCTTTACACTTGCAACATGGTCAAGAAGTGTGTTAACTTTCTCTCATCCCTGTAAAAGCTTAAACGCAACATGGTTGACACAACTCTCAAACAATGAAATATAACTTACAACTCAAGCTCTCTCTTTAACAAGATTTTAAAACAATGGGTAATGAAATACAACCCTTTACAATTCCATAATATAAATTATAATACATTAAAACAGTTTAGATAATAAAATAATATATCTTTAAAAATATACTACCAAACAAAATTTTTAGTACATTAATATCACTTAGTACAAATATTCCCTTAAATAATAAAATGAAAGACCCTTTGAGACAAAAATATGCTAAATAAATTCTTTAAAAAGATCACAAGTAAACACACACAGCTACACTGGGAGGGGTATAACCTTAGCATTACCCACTAGCTTCAGTTACTTCCACTTCGCTTACCACACTTATAAATATCCCAATGTAAAGCTGGATAGTTAGTAGCCCATAATTGCGAAACAACACTGGAACTTAATCTTTTCTCAAACAGATAACTTCCTAAGTTAATTCTGTCTGATTTATGGAGAGGAAACAGATTATTTCATATGTAATGTCTATAATTTAGTTACGCAATAGTGATGCACTAGAATTCACCCATAGTAAGCCACAAGACATCATTTGTGTATACAGAGGGGCTGTTATACTCTTTTCTATATACATTCATGCAGTCCACTATTAATTGGCTTGATCTAGCCAACATATAAAACTCTACCATGGAACATTAGCTCACCAGTTGCACAGGTAAAACTGATAGATCATTTCTGCAGGTATTCTGTGGTGTGGATTATACCCAAATGAAGAAATAGTGCAAAGGTTTTTACAATTTAATATATGGAAGAAGTTAATCTCTTCTTTTAATATAGTGAGATTGTTCACTTATGTTGGTAATGTGGAATTGTGGGATACTGCTCTGTCTCCAAATTTAGCTATTAACACAATATTTCCTGTCTTGGTCCAGTGAAGAAGTTCGTCACTATTCTTCTCTAAAGTTCAATGTTTCTTTAAGAAGAATAGAAGCCAGCCAATACTGTAATATATGGGGTGTTGAAAGATATGCTAGCATTGTATGCTTGTCTATAATTCAGTGTATTTCATTCTTTGTTTGCACTTGCATCAGTTTTAGTTTTCTTGCTGCCTATCTTCATTATATTTTTCTGTAAGCACTTCTTTGTGAAACTCTCATATTGTGGTATTTTGGTTTACCTGTGAATACCACTGACAAAGCTAGAAGGTTTAGATTTTGGTGCCATGACAAAGGATTTATTTTTGGAACATCTATTTTGAACACACTTCTTTGTTACATTTATTTTCTGTTCGCTGGTGAATTCTGTAAATTTTGATTTAGGAAAGTTGTTTTCTAAGACCACATAGTACTTACAGAGGAGAAGAGAAAGCCATAGTTGAGATGATTGCACAGTCAGGGAGTTTGGAATAGACTAGATGAATCTGTTCTTGGATCAAGAGTCCTTGCCAATTGATTCACACTATCAACCTGACCTTGGGACTAAGAGGTTGAAGAATGGAATCCACTCTTTCAATTTGTCCTCGAGAATAAGATATTGAAAAATGGATTGGGGAGACGGACCATACATCTTTAGTTATTTTGCACATGCAGGAACATAGAATGGCAAGAATGGGTCACAATGGTGATGACTAGTTTAAGCAATCTGATACCATTTGAAATGGTCATTATGGGACACCTAGACACACAATGAATAGCCCAGACATTGTTAGGCACTGTTCAAGATTGTAGGTAACCATGGAGGGAGGTGAAGTACATGTGGTAGGTGATATCTGCTAGGGAAAATCATAATATTATAATGTAATCAGCGGGTCTAACTACTTAATACTCCTCTGGAATTCAAGTGGAAACAGATTTCCTATCTATTTGTGGCAATTTTCAAGTGGAAACAGATTTCCAAATTACCACAAATTGATAGGAAAGAGAAATTTTGGTACTGTGGCTTCAGGATTTATTGTGGAATTTTTTGATTCAATGTGTACGTGCTAATCCTTGCGTAACCTCTTGAGTTTAATGAGTTTAAAAGAATAATTCGTACGATTAGAGTAGCATCTACCATTATTAGCGGATCTACCTATCTAATTCTTGTCTCGAAATAAGTTTCCTCCTGAAAATACTACTCTCCAACACAGGTTTAAGCATTTAACCTCTAATTTTATTCAACTCTACCAAGATTATGCCGAGTCAATAATGCAGGGTATTGATTCAGTATAGATCACATAACTAACATAGTTGCTACAAGATATAAACAACTTTCTTTACCCTGACCTTATACATCCAAGCATAAGCCTAAACCTTTATCGCACCAAAGAGATTTAAAACTGTATATGCTATCTCTGAATTTGCTCAAATGCTATACTAAATTTTCTTAACTTATCTTTCCACATTTAAGAACTGGTCAACTTTTGTTTGTTCTCTTCACACACCCTCAACTTCCCGTCTTCCTGTCCCTTGCAAGGTTA